ATCATAGAATTGAGAAGTAGCTACAAACAACAATAAATTTTTTTTTTAGTTTATTTTTTAATAGAGAAATAAACTAACGAAATATATTTCCACCCCCAAACTTAATTATAGCATTGTCCCCAATGATAATGAAAGGAAATTTTGAACAATAAGACATAAAAATGGAAGGAAAGAAATATAAAATGAAATAAAGACATATAAAGAAAAGGAAAGAACACACCAATTTGTGTAGGCGAATCTCGGAGTCTGATTTGAAACCAAGGAACTCTGAATTGTGCAGTCTGCATTCTTCTCTGCTTGTTTCTTCTGCACGGCGGGCAGGCACGAGGTAGAGGTATTGGTCTGTTTCTTTCTTCAATCTTTCCAAGTGCCCATCTCTTGCTTTCTTTCTCCTTGTCCCTAGCTGAATTGTCTCCACATGCTTCGAGGTATCATTTTCACTTCCCTTATCTGTCCCCCAGGCAGATGTGGTAGACGAAGAGAAAGCACAAGATAATGAAGATGAGTACTCGAGAGCAAGGCTAGGTAAGCAATCAGGAAGGGGTTCCAGGCAGTTGGCTCCAGATCGGAAGATTAATACCAAGTGCTGGCTGATTGCTCTCTTTCTCCTTGTCACAAAACAAAGACAAGGAGAAGGACAGGGAGAAAGCATGATATGAGATACTCTTGCTTTCAACCTTCATGATATGAAATACTTTTGCTTTGGATGGGTTGTTTGCAGAGGTACCCCAAGGAATAAGGAACACTGAGTGACTCGAAAGGGTGTGGTGGAAAGGCATTCTCGGAGATGATGGAAAGTTATGTATGTCTGCCTTGCCATGGAGGGTGAAGGTCGACATTTATAGGAAATAATAACCGGTACTGTTCTTTCACTCTTGTCGGCAACCGTTGGATGATTTGAACAGTAAACTTCACGTGCTTTATACTTTACCAGAAATCGTCGACAGATTGCCCGTGATTTCTGTAAAGCAGACTTTGCATGTGACAGATGTTGACACGTCTGGATAAAGCAGATTCCTTTCCGATTTCTGAGCTTGCCTCTTCGAAATCTGAGCTCCGTCGAGTGCAGAGGGTGCATGTGACGAGTGCGGACAAATCTGGAAAAGAAGATTTGCCGTGGTTTCTGAGCAAGCTCAGCTTTTGAGAAAGCTAGCGCCTCTTTGATTTTTTTAGTTGGCCTCTTCGATATCTGGAATTGCCTCTTCGATCTCCGAAATCCCATCGCGTGCTGATTTTTATAGAGGTATGCAGGACGTTCAAAGCACACTTGAATTTCTGCCTTCAAAAACTCCCTCTTTGCATTTCTACTATCTTGACTTGTTCGACCTCTTCTTTCTTTACCACATCTGAAAAATGTCTGGCCCTTCTGATCGTCGTTTTGACTTGAACCTTGGTGAAGAGGCAGCTCGACAACATATGGCGCCCATCCTTCATATCCCCTACTGGTCCCCTTACCGTTGGGGATTCGGTGATGAAGAATGATATGACAGCTGCGGTGGTGGCCAGGAACCTTGTCACTCCCAAAGATAACAGACTACTCGCCAAACGGTCTGATGAGTTGGCTGTTAAGGAATCTCTGGCTCTCAGTGTGCAGTGTGCATGTTCCGTGTCCAACATGGCCCAACGCCTATTTGCCCGATCCCGTCAAGTTGAATCGTTGGCGGCAGAAGTGATGAGTCTTAAGCAGGAGATTAGAGGGCTCAAGCATGAGAATAAACAGTTGCACAAGCTCGCACACAACTATGCCACAAACATGAAGAGGAAGATTGACCAGATGCAGGAATCTGATGGTCAGATTTTACTTGATCATCAACAGTTTGTGGGTTTGTTCCAACAGCATTTGCCTTCGTCTTCTGGGGCTGTACCGCGTAGTGAAGCTCCAACTGATCAACCTCTGATGCCTCCTCCTTCTGGGACTCCGCCGACTGCTGAAACTTCACTTAAGCAGCCTTTGTGAAGGCTCCCTCTTGTATTTATATGCTTAATGTTCCTTTCATTTTTATGAATGTAAAACTACCTTGCAAGAAGTTGTGGTAGAGATTGCAAAATCATTACCTGCATAAAGGAACAAAAGTAGGACTTAAACACAAAAAACCAGAAAACAAGAGAAAAACAGAACAATAAAATTTAAAATTATTCAAAATAAAGATGAAAGATAGAAAGCTTGGGTTGCCTCCCAAGAAGCGCTTTCTTTAACGTCTTGCAGCCGGACGATGCCTCTAGTCACACTCCCCTAGGTTCCATGGCATCGAAGTGAACTTCGAATGGAAGGTGATACTTGAAGTGATCCGGCATTTGGACTAAAAACTTCCCCAATTTGCAGTAAAATCAAATGATGACCCCCAAACTTTAATTCTGCAATCAACTCCAAGGGTGGACATAACCCAAATACAAAGAAAAGAAATAATTCAGTTTTGCACGCAAGAAAATTGAAAATGACAGAAAAAAAAAGCAATGAATAGAAATATTGGGTTGCCTCCCAATAATCGCTTGCTTTTACGTCCGCAGCCAGACGGTACCAAGAGTAATCATCCAAAGGGAACTGGTTCTTGAAGAGGTACAACCTCCACATCATGCTCCGCAAAAGACTCGTAATATGGCTTGAGTCTATGCCCATTCACTTTGAACATGTATCCGGTCTTTGCACTTTGGATTTCCACTGTTCGTTGACAACGATCACATGTTGCACAAAACTCGTACACATCCTTAAACAAATTAGGCCAATAAAAACCACTCTCTAACACCTTCAGGGCTGTCATTTTTGCTCCAAAATGGCCACCACATGCATAAGAATGACAAAAAGTTAGAATAGATTTAAACTCAGATTCGGGGACACACCTTCTAATCAATTGATCAGTGCAATATTTCCACAAATAAGGATCATCCCACTCTTTGGGTCTTCTTCCTCCTTTTATAGACGAATTAACCCGGCTATTTGCAGTTCTGTTCTTGCCTGAAAGTAATCGGAGGGTAGTGACTCACCAGCTTTTTACTTGTATTGCCACTGTATAGTGCTTTTGGCTGATAGGTGACCGATCTTATCACTTGTCATATTTAGATTATAGGCACATAGCCTATGCATTAATGGGAAGCCGCCACTTTGTCTTTGAGAGAGTTGGTCTGGGCTGGGTGCTGGGCCTCGAGCGAATCTCCCCATTTTAGTCCTTTTGGGCCTACCTTTCTTCCTTTCTTTCTTTAGGCCCAAAGTTCAAATATTAACCCAAACACCTTCAAAATTCGTGTTCTTGGCAGCCGATAGATTGCAGGCGAGTCCTAAAACTACGAGTACTTTATTTTTTGACAATTAAGTGGGCATAAACTAATTTCCCATCTAAATTCCACAAATATGTAGTTACATACAAACTTTGGCCGATATTAAGGTTTAGGGTTGTAATCTAAAATCCGAATTCGTAACCCATGATCTGAATTAATATCTGTTCAGTATTTTTGAACTGAACACGCAATTTCCAATCACAAACTCATAGCGCTAAAAATTCTAGTTCACGACCGATGAGCGACGAGTCCATACAACCACATTCACATATTAAACAGCCATCTGTTCTTTGTCAGCATCCATCCATGTTTTTTTTATTTTTCTAGTCGCTTAACCTTGTATCCAGGGCCGGCCCTGAGATTTCAGGGCCTTGTGCGAAAGTGAATTGGAGGTCCTAAAAAAATATTAAGAATCTAATTTTTTTATTTTTTTGTTCAAAAAATTAACTTTAGTTTTCAATTGAGCTTCTATAAATTTTAATGGCACAAACAAATTTACCAAATCAACAGGTGGAAATGTGGCGTATTGTTTTTCCTTAACTATTTAGAGGGCCAGGGTTCAAATTTTCATGTTATTGTGTCGAATTTGTATATTATTTTGTGGAAGCTTATGCATTTAATAAAAATAAATTGAAAAAAAGATGGAGATGAGTTTTGAACCCATCCCCTAGGATGATGTAAAGAAGTAATAATATCACTTGCGCTAAGACTCAAGTTTGCAATATTTTACACATACTACTATATATACGTATATGCATACAAAATTGAAAAATCGGGAGCCGTGTGCGGTGGCACCACTTGCACCCTCTCAGGGCCGGCTCTGCTTGTATCCAAACAAAAGGAACAAGAAAAATAATATTTCTTCTTAGTTCAAATTGAAATTTTATAACCGAAAATCACGCCTAAAGTTAATTTTTTCTTTATTCATTATATTTGGTTCGGAAGATCTGGATAGAAAGGAGAGAGAGATGATGATGATAATAAACCTATCTTTTGGTGTGTGAGTTTAATTTTAAGGATTTTCTGATTTAGACTCACTCAAACTCACAACAGAGAACTAGAAATATGATGACACATTTAGTAAAGGTAGATAGTGTTTCTACAGATGTTGCTTCCGTTGATGAAATTCTTATTTATGACCAATGAAGCTTTCATCGATCATAAAAAATAATAATAAAGATAGATAGTGAACTTATTATACACATGTATTCTCATATAATTTGATGTACAAATATATTTGAGTGACATTGTAATTTAATATAAATAACAAAGAAGATAATTCGATCTAACTTGTAGAGAGGTAGGGATGCACGCCTATTATTCTAGCCAACTTGGCTCGCTGAAGTCTAACTTGATGTGCCAATATAAAGTTTAAACATTACCAAAACCAGTCTTTTTATTTAGGTATAAGCAATGACAGAATAAAAGCTTGCCATCATTGAGTGAAGCATAACAGAGACAAGGAGAGGTATTCACTTGGTTTCTTTACATTCAACAAAGGGGTTATACAAGTACCGCATGGACTAGTGGATGATGAGAAGAAATTGCTCTAACAATCTATGTGAACAATCGTGGGTAAGAACGATATTGTGCAATGGGAAATGTGATCAAGGAGGGAGAGTCCGATATAAAGGCCTATTGTGGGATAAGAGGAGAAAACTAAACGAATGGTAGACGAGCTATGAGTGAGGTACTGGCTTATGCATGCTTAATTCTTTTTCACGCCTTGCTTATTAAGGACTAACGAACTTTAATTTGTTTTTTCCTTTTTTACTTTTGTAGTTGGAACAATTTGTTTAGAGTTAAATAGTGCTCTGCAAGGAAAACCTCTGGAAGTGGAAACCATGCGTTCTCGTTTTGCAAGGTGTGGCTGATCACCAGGTTGCAGCAACAAGAGCATAGTAATTTTTTAAGGATACATTGTTCGTCTACGAAAATTCAAAGATTATTATCTCATCATTGCGTACAGAAAAAAGGATATTTATTCCATGAAATTGAAAGATTCTGTTATCCTCAAAAGTGTGTGACTTCTTGTCTATAGAAGTAATGGCCAGAAGGGCTGCCATTTGTTACCATTGCTAGCCTCACAACACTTTCAGCACCTTCGTCTATTGTTAATATTCCGGTATTGAAGTTCAAATCTGTTTTGACAAATCCAGGGCATACAGAGTTGATGCAGATATTCGGGTACTGCTTGGCCATGATCCGCGTGAAAGCGTTTATGGCTGCTTTTGAGAGTATATAGGCAGAGAGGGAAGCAGGCCATCCTCTGGTTTCTAGCATATCTTCTTTGAAGTCTTTTAGAAACTCGCTCAAAACCTCGTCTATTCTGTCTTCTGTGAGTTTTTCGGCATCACTTAACAACCTTTTAGCCCATCCATTTGGGATATGCTGAAACAAAACATCCATGCCAACAGAATTTCAGTTTTCCTAATTATGGAAGACATTGGATCTTGAACCAGAAATACGATGAGATGCCAAAAGTATGAAAAATCTTCGCACCTTTAACAATCCCATGCCAGAAGAAAGACTGACAACTGTTGGTGAATCGGATAGCTGGAGGAGGGGAAGCAGTGCTTTGGTCATTTTCTTGGAACCATAGTAGTTTGTTCTCACGCATACTTCAGCTAACTCATACGTTTGAGTCATTATTTCACTCCAATTGACTCCTAAACCATCCTGCGTCAAGGAAAAGAAAGATTTCATTTTGCCATAGTGGATTTTTGAATGAAAGATTTATGGCACTTAGCCATACCTATATGGAAAGTTCTCTTCAAGCACCCATTTTTAACTCTCACACACCCTTGTTAATTTTTGGTCATTGATTTTTTTCAATTCATTCGATCCGACGACAAAAATTTGAGAGGAGTGTGTGAGAAGTAAAAATGGGTGTGTGGATAGCACTACTCAACCTATAAATTTGACAATGTAAGGACCCATCTTATAACCATTTCAGTTTTCAGTTTTCAAAAAATAAAATGTAAAACCAAAAACTGAAAGCCAAATTTTGAAAACTCAAGATAAGTTGGATTTTAAATAGTGAATAAAAAGACTTACCCTACCAACACCAGAAGCTACAGCAGCTCTGAAAGCTTCAGGGTCTACAATGGTTCCTCTAACCCCTGCATTGTTTACCTGTGGAAGTTCCTAAACATTTCATCTTTGTTCAATCCCAACAAAATATTAAGACCCTTCATCGTACTTAGGGATTTTCTATCTTATTTTAAGCTGAATTACGAAGCGACTCAGTTAAAATTTACAACACAGTGGATAAGTGAAAATTTTCAACAGGGTACACAGAATATGCTTGAAATATTAGTATCATATAGAGTTGGCGAATGAGGTCCGTTCATTAAAAAATTTTAAAATTCACAGACGAAAAAATGGCAAAAATGAAAGTATTCATTCAGAACAGGAAGTTTGTTTATAAAAATGGTTTCGAATCATACCAAGATATCTAGTTTCCCGAATTGGGTTTTGACAAAATCTGCTAGGGAAGCAACGCTAGCAGGATCCGTTACATCAAGCTGATGAAAAACCACAAGGTCAGAGAGGCCACACTCTTTCAAATTTTCAATAGCTTCAAGACCCATTTTCTCATCTAAAGCAGTTAACACCACCATGATCCCATTTGCTGCCAACTTCTTAACTGTTCCGAATCCAATCCCCTGATTCGAGCCTGTGACAACCGCATACCTGACAAAATCAAAGACTCATTGCACTAAAAATCAATTAAGATACATGTGTCACAGTATCCAACACGCATCCATCAATTATTAATAAGTTTGGCTTAAGTGAATGCAAATCTGTCTGTACTCCTCTTGTTGCTACTGACAAACTGAGCAAAGAAGATTGAAGTGGCCCAGCAAGTGAAGAGCAATATAGGAAGATTGTGGGCAGTCTGTTATATCTTAATGCTACAAGGCCATATGTGATGTATGCAGCTAGCTTACTTGCTAGATATATGCATTGCCCTACAAATAAGTAATATGGGACTGCCAAGAGAGTGCTTAGGTATGTCAAAGGAACACTAGATTATGGACTGAATTATGAAAAGGGGAAGAATGCAATACTAATTGGATATTGTGGGAGTGATTGGGGAGGTTCAATTGATGATAGCAAAAGTACATTAGGCTATGCATTTTCCTTTGGGAGTGGAGTCTTCTCATGGGCATTTGTTAAGCAAAATTGTGTTGCACTTTCAACTGCAGAGGCAGAGTACATCAGTGCATTAGAAGCCACAGCTCAGGCTATATGGCTTAGGTTTGTTCTGGAGGATTTTGGAGAGTTGCAAACTAAAGCAACTCCTTTTCAGTGTGACAATACAGTTGCAATCTCTATAACCAAGAATCCAGTATTTCATCAAAAGACAAAGCATATTGATAGAAGGTATCACTTCATCAAGGATGCTTTGCAGCAAGGAATTGTTGATTTGGTCTACTGACCTACCAAAGAACAAGTGGTAGACACTTTTACTAAAGCTCTACCAAAGGAGAGGTTCAACTATCTCATAGATAAGCTTGGAGTCATATCAGCTCAAAGCTTAAAGGGGAGTGTTAGTGTATAAGCCATGAGCTGATTTTAAGTTAGTAGAAATAAGCCTTGTATTTAGTTGTGTATTCACTCTGGTTAAAATTACCAAGTGTAGGGCTCATATTGTAATTTTGTCTAAGTGACATGTGGATTAATCACCTTGAATCCAGCTAGATGTGCAGCTAAGATCTTTTGATGTAATGGTGAGATTCCATTAGCATAACTAACCGTTATGCAGTGCACGATTGTGTGCTAGTGTGAGAATAAGAGAAAACATTCCTCTGTGATTTTGCAGAGAGAGAGAGAGAAGCATCCATCACTATCTCCATTTCTGCGATATTTCTTTCTTCCTTCGAGTCATACACTCTCATGCTTAAACTTTAACACCCTGGAGAAATTCTCATAAATAAACCGTTGTATCCAACATTTTGATGTGAAAATTACTTGACACACAAATTAAACCCTCTTTTTGACAATTGTAGTAAAGTATGTAAGTAGGGTATCGTTCTAGACCGGGGATTAGGAGGGATTGCTAATCTAAAAAATATTAAATAAGACTCAAGGACACAAAACTAGGCTAAAAACTCTAATAACTCGAAACACACTTAGAATGACTCAAAATAATGAAAACAATCAAATTAGACACTAGGAACTGAAATGGACGGAAATTGAATTAAAAGACTAACAACAATGAAAACTAACTAAATAATATAATTTAATAATGGGGGGTTTGGTTTTGACGAGAAGTAAATTAAACTTAAATAAATTATAGAATTGACAAAAGCATGAATTAAGGTGAAAGGATAGGTGACGGACTAGCTAGAGGGTTCTTCTCCACACATGACACATATGCAACCTAAATTGATTTTCAGTTGTTCTTTCAATAAATTGTGAATGACAATGTTCCAAGTTAATTAGGTCCGCTTAAATTAACTCTTTAGATTTCCCTAGATTCATTGGATTGAATGGAATACGCATTACAACCAAATTATTCCTCATCAAAGTCCCTAACTATGGAATACGCATGATAGAGACATTCAACAAAGATCATTAAGTTCAACGGAAATCATAAACATTGACTAGGCATTCATAACTATGGAATACGCATGTTAATCCAGCCTAGAACTCACTTAACACGATTGTGGATAACAACCTTCACTACTTGTGAATATAAGTTCATAACGATTAGGTGAAATTCACTTATATTCTAGCATCAAATTCATGCATGTAAATTAAGTATGCATTCTTAATCGACATACAAAAATAAGTTATCAATCAAGCAGTTAAGTAAATTAAATCACAACTCAGAAATCACAACTGAAGGTAATCAATTCATATTACAAATATATTCATGGCTTTGAATTAACCTCTAGCCAAAATAAATTTAGTTACACATTATTATCAAATTAAACCAAAAGTAAAACATGGGTTTGAGAAGATAAAACCAAGAAAAAATGGAGTGAAACTTTGCTCTGTGTTGCTCCCGTTTCTGCTGGTCTCTGCCCTCTCTGACCTCTGGCTGGCTGCCTCTCTCCTCTCGCCTTCTTTCCTCTTGCAGTCCTCCTTTCCCACGTTTCCTGCTTCTTCTTTTCTCACGCTCCAAGGGCAGCTTTTTGGACTCTCTGACCTCACGTTTCCTGCTTCTCGTGTTGCTCCCGTCTCTGCTTCTCTCCTGTTTTTCTGTGCAGCCTTCTGCTTCTCTCTCCCGCCACCTGTCTCTCAAGCTGCCAAATGCAGCTTCTATCCTGTCTCGTGCCTCCCCCCGTGTCTATCTCCTCCTCCTGCTCTTCTGTCAGTTTGCTTCTTTTATTCCTGCTTCTCCCTCTGACTTCTTGCCTTCTTTTCTATTATTTTCTGTTTGTTTTTTTTTGTTTCTGCCAATCCGAGTCCTCCCCACTCCTCTCTGTCCCCTGCGCACTGCCTCTTTTATTATTTCCACTCAGTCCCGCACTCCTTCTACTTTCCTTTATTATTCTTCCCTTTATCAGTGTGCACTCCACTTCCTCTTTGACCGACTCTCCCTCATTCTTTTAACAAAACATAAATCATGATTATTTTTCTTTTTTTTAATTTTATTTAAAAGCTGATTTACACAGACAGTTTTGACGAATTTATTACAAAAAATTTCACTTGTTCTATTTTTATTTTCTTTGCATAACAAATCCTATAAACACAAAAATACGTAAATAGCTCAAAAATATAAGGAACAAACTAAGAAAAGACGAGTGAATTCGAAGTAAAAATATATATAATATGATCCGATCACATTTCACAAACGTGAGAGGGTTGTATACAACACTTATGTACAAGAAATTTCATTACTGTTGGTGTGGCCAAATGGTCTGATGTGTGAAGCTTCAAAAACATGAGGGAAGTAGTAGGTACTTACCTCTTTGCCGCTTCTGCCATGGGTGATGAGCTTTCAGATTTGCTTTCTGATTTCTATGTAACATGGCCTTTCTTTTTAAAGTCATTCTGTCCTTCCAACTTCTGTTAACTTATTCAACTTTTGATCTTCATTCTTAGTTAGTTGTTTGTCTTCTTTTGATGGTAGAATATTTTTTAGCCCTCTTGTCTTTGATTAAGCAAATCAAGGTCAACTCTTACACATGGAATGCCAATGGGTGCTCCGGAGTACTCGGCGCTCCAGATATTTTAATCCTTAAATTTGGATTTTTGTATCAAATTTATAGTATAACGTCAAGTTTATCCTTCCTCCGGGTCCACCAATATCATGAGTTTATTTCTAATTACTATATTACTGAAGGATCCTAAACCGAGAAGCAGCCATAATCAATACACTTCTTCGTCGGAATATGAAAATGCGACAAAATGAGTCGTTGAGAACTTCCATCTGGTATATGCAAAGGTTGCCCTTGAGCAATTGAGAAATTGAAACGTTTGGGTAAGAGGGATATCTAAGTCCCGAGGAATTGAGGTCAAGTTATTAAGAAATAGATTAAAAACTAGAAATTAGCCCTGCATGTTGCCGCGGGAACCAGCTATTTCAAGCGTAATCGGATGAATAAAACACATTTAAGTTGAATAAATTCAACATAATTATGAACAAACAAATGGATACTTGAGTGAATGAGATCGATAAGATAAGCAGTTTTGCTTTTATATACATTCAAGTGAGTTGGCATATAAACACATTGTACAATGAGTGGGAAGAAACTGAAAGTCTTTGATTAGAAAGAGATGGTTTCCGAAAAATTATGTTTCCTTAAGAAACAGAAGAAACATTTAGTTCACACATATAATATGTGTCCTGCAGTGTAGGTAGCCATTTGAATAGGTAATTAAAAATATAAAGTGTTGAGGACTTGTTCAAGTAGCTAATTTTGTAATCACAACTGTTCAAAGGCAAACATAAGCATAAGGTTTGTTTCCATACGAAACTGAAGAAACAGAAGCAAGCTGCATTTTACACATATTTTGCCCCTGCAGTTAAGACAACAAAATATATGCCCTGCAGCCTACATACCTCACTTGTGCAACATATGCCTTGCACTGGAAAAACATCAAAAATCGAATACAAATTTGTAAATCATGGACATATTTTGTTTTACATTTTTATAATCAAATCAAGTGGCAGTGTAGCAAGTAAAATTACGAACTTGAAAGCAACCAAAGAGAGTAGAAATTAAGATGTAGAGATATCCTCAAACTTGCAACATACTACATGGAAGCTAACAGTAGAGGTTTGTGAAGCAAACTGCGGCATGAGTTGCAGTCAATTGAACAAAATCATAGTAGTTTAACTTTGTAGTAAAAACCGTAGGCAAACGAAGAACAATGTTCTCTTTCATAACGAAAAATATATCTTAACCACTATCTTCATTAGCCAAATCGTTTCACAAATCCAAAAACACATAATTATATCTTGAACAATGCCAATTAATGATTTCCCATTACTTAAGCCCAACATCAAAGCCAATGAACTAATGAAAGAGTGAAAAAGAGAAACAAAAAACCTCAATTAAGCAATAAAATGGAGTATTACTTGATAGAGCTGGAAAATTACCCAGTTCTTCAGAGAGAGGATCAAGAGTGACTGATGAGAGTGCAGAGAAACGAACGATTGAGAAATTCAAGCTCTGAGCTCAAAGTTGGGGCTTCCACTTTCCAACTGGGGGAGAAATAACAAAGAAAACACAGAGAACCAATCCACCAAAAATATTAATCAAATAGGTTTCTTCTAATTCAAAATTTGGACCACCCAAATTCTGATGAAGCAATAACCATTCAAAATTCCAACAGATTGAAGCCCTCACAGACTACAAATTATCAATACCCAACAATAAAAATTTTGAAAATAGTAATAATGAAGGAAAAGAAATTTAAAATGCGAGCCATTCTCTAAATCATTCTCTAAATCTCAGGCACCGATCCAAATCGCCAGTAATTTGCACATAATGATAAGAATCTAGCAAT